AAAAAAAAAAAAAAAAAGGACTGGAGCTATAGCTCGGTGGCAGAGTATTTGGCTGATGTGTGAAATCTTGATATACAGCCCAGGATGCCCCCTCCTCCTTCCTCAGCCTTCAAAATGATGATTGGAGACATACCACCACACCTGAAGCCAACTTAACCCTCCTTCACAAATGGGAAACTCAGGCTGACTGGGTGCTTCAGCTTTCCCCACTTAGCAGAGGTCATTGCCTTCTGTTACACTATGGTGCCTCTTAGGTAACCGTTACAACTCGCCTTGAGGTGAATTTGTGGGGGTGGGTGAGGAGTCAAGGAAGACAGAGTCAGGGGCTGGAGAGACAGGCTCAGCTTATGCAGGACCATGTCCAGTTTCCAGTACCCATGTTCAGAGACTCACCACTGCTGGGAACTACAGTTCCAAGGAATCGGATGCTGCTGCCTCCTCAGGTACCTGCCCTCACATGTACACCCACACACACAATTTTAACAGTAGAGTAAAAAAGGTCCACCCCTTACTAGCTGAAATATCCATCCTACTGCAACAGTTAATCAGACTGGACAGAAACAAATCCTTGACACCTAAAATATATAGCACAATTCCAAAGGTGTGCAAGGCACAAAAAGATAACCAAATGGATAAAAGAAAAAGACAAAAAAAAAAAAAAAAGCACTATATTGAAAGGGACAAGGGACATGAAGGATGGCAGAACTAATGTCCACCAAAAACACTATTTTTTTTTTTTTTTTTTTTTGGTTTTTCGAGACAGGGTTTCTCTGTGGCTAGCTCTGTAGACCAGGCTGGTCTCGAACTCACAGAGATCCGCCTGCCTCTGCCTCCCGAGTGCTGGGATTAAAGGCGTGCGCCACCATCACCCAGCTCAAAAACACTATTTTTTGCTTTTCTCAATTTTCTTAGGTTTCACATACTTCTAGCCTCTGCCTCTACTCTCCTTGACATGTTAGAAATGAGGGGTTTCCTTCCTCCAAGCTGAGATGTAGCCATTCTCAAGGTCCCAGGACAACAGCTCATCAGCATAGGGCAGCTGGTCACTAGGGGGCAGTAGGTCTGCAGTTAGGGGGATCTTCAGCACCCACAAACTTTGGGAGATGGGTGGGGCAGCCCGATAGAACTTGGTGAAGTAGAGAAAACAAACAGCAAAATAAGTGAAAAGGGCAAATAGTTAAAGCTGAGGGTAGTGGTCCTTCGTGAGGAGTAAGACTAGATCTCGTACTGTCCACTCCTCGGCGCTCCCCAGACACAGGAGTTGACAACGAAAGATTTCTCAGTTTATTTGCAAATACACATTGTCAGCCCAGGAACCAGCTCTACTTCAGAACTGCCAAGCAACAAATGCCCTTACCCAACCAACACCCAAAACCTACCCAGGAAGGTGGGGCCTGGATAACCAGTGCCCAAGGCTCCTATCCCAACTGTGCAGATTGTAAAAGTTCATTTAGAAAAACAAGGAGTTAGAAGCCAGTGTCCATGAGACATCTTGCCCCTTTGTAAACATTAACATCCAGGCTACCAGAACCTGGGATGAGTGTGCAAAGATGAGGGTACCATACTGTGTGCCCAAAGGGCCAGGGACATAGTTGGCAACCATACCAGTTAAGTCCTGAGGGTCTGCCCCCCACTGCAGGCTGGAAAATGCCTGCAGCAGAAACAAGGCAGGTATTCCATGCCAAGAGCTCACATAAGATAGCATCGGCGGTCTGGCTCATAAGAATTCTCCACACGGGCAATTTCCTGGATGACTTTGATGAAGATGTCTTGAGTTAGCTACAAGGAATTAGCAGATTCAGAAGTCAGTCAGTTGGTTGGGTGCCAATCCTACCCAGCCCTGAGGCAAACACACCACTCCCTCACCATCCCCACCACCAAGCAGTATGTAAGGAAAGACACTGTCAACCGTTTTACCAAGCTAGTCTTTAGGTTAGGCACCTGATTCTCTCTAGCAGACGACTCCACAAACGTCGCACCCCAGGACTCTGCTAGCTTCTTCCCTTCAATTGCCTGCACCTCTCTGGAAGCAAATGTGGAACATAAAGATGGAAGGCTGATAATGTCCGCAAGCTCTCTGAGAATTCTTTAAGACTTAGATTTCCTCTGATGTTTCACACCCCTGCCCCAAGGTTTGATGAGGGCAAGGTGAGAGAAAATACATGTAAACGAAAGCATGATGGGTAAAATAAGACTGAAGCTGGAAATATGAATTATTGCTGTATGATAAATAACCATGAAGGTAATGGTGAAAAGGGGAAATGGTTAGGCGTGGGAAGCCACCCTAATAACTTCAGCCGGCACTATCAGAAAGGCAAGAGGCCAGGGAGCTCAAGGACAGCCTGGGCTACATGGTGAGAATCCTGTCTCCGAGTCAAGGAAGGACTACAGCTTGACTGATCTCTAGTACAATGCTCTTTCCTGTGCCGTGAGCATCAGAGACTTACACACCTGTATGGAGAGAGGTCTGCCTTGTTCCCCACAAGCACCACCGGCAGCCTGTGATGAAGCAGCAGTTACTACTAGATCACAATCAGAGCCCCTTCCCATTCTCTACGGACCCCAACTACTCCAACGACAGCAAAGCTGGATGATTCCCCAAATAAGTCAGGCATGACCTATGTCCAGTCTCTTCGGAATTCACACTTTTGCCTTCTTCCACACCCTCATGCCCACACTCTACTTCCTAGGGCCACTTACCGAGTTTTACCATGGCCTTCATGTAGCTTTTGGTACAGGCTCTTAATGATTTGGAAGCTTCAAACATAAGAAATAGAGCAATAATCTTAGTTCTAGGATAACTGCTGAGCCCTGCCAAGCCCCACTCAGAATCTTAGTCACATACCTATGCAGAGAGGTGACAGAGTACACAAGCACATAACCGTGAACCCCAATGATGAACGAGTAGGGCAGAATGCTGTACTCATCCTAACAAGAAACAGAAACGTGAGTATTTGGGGCCACACCATTCAAATAGCATAAACTGGTGAGACACCACACAAGTAAGCCTCCCTGGGATATTTCTTATTCCCATTAAACAAGTATGTAGTTTCTCCAATGAGCCTTGCACACTGTTAACAGCTAAAATGTTTTTCTTTCCCATACTACATCACACACGAACCACACAGACCACAAGACTACATAGGGCTGAGCTGCAA